AAGAATATGTCAGTCATCATATACGTACATTGTATGTACACATCTGTGTGTGATCATTATAATACATTCTGTTGGTATTTAGGCTGTGATTCCGTAACATCAGAGGTAATGTAATTCATCAGATCAATAAAGTATCCAGGTTGAAATGTTAGTATTAAAGTGACCTCTTCGTTCTTTGCTTACATTCACCGCTATGTTACTTACAATCAATGGCAATGTTGTGTTGCCTTTTTTCCCTTATGTTTGTGAACTGCAGTAACTGTTCTTCAAGACTTCAGCAAAAATCGCTTTGATATATTCGATTGTCTATTAAAAACAGCGGTACCCGATTTTAATGTAATAGACATCCCATCTGCCTTCTTGCAAGCCGCTTTTCGGCACTGGTTTCCAAGTTAAATATAGTGCATTTTATTTAGAGACTAAATCCGTTGCTGTCCATCAAAAGCGGCGTTGGCGTTAATCTCAGCAGTTTGTACACTCCTGTTCGGCATTCCAAGTGTTTTGTGGTTTGTGTTCCAGATTAGGAGAAAAGAAAATAGATATTTAGAACCAATTCAGGGCACAATTATTAATTGCGCTACATTTGTCTGTATTTAAGCATTTCCTTGTAATGACAGAGACACAGCCTGTGCAAATTTCCACTATACAATAAAGCGTTTTTATTTAAAATGGACGCATTGTGATTGGCTACATACATTGCCTGTCGGCGGATTGTAATTTCGCAGGCTGAAGGGTTTTAAATCTTGTGTTTAGCATAAACCATCAATTAAATCGATTCCTTGCTTGCGACTTCTTAGCAATTCCGAACAGTTAGAATATTTTAAAAACTCTACAGGAAAACCAGAAAGTCTTTTTAAAAACCGATTCTTGCGAATTGCTTTGATTGTCATCGTGTGTCAGATTATTTTTAAATTTACACCAGATTCGATCTTAATATCCTGATCCAGGTCAAATATGATATAACACTTTTTCTCACCAGAATAAATCAGTCTCTGTCAATCCTTCTGACTGAGAGTAAGTAATATTTCCTGAGACAGGGTTATTTAAATAAAAGTGATTTCCCTTTTCACCGTTTCCTGAATTGTGGCTTCATTCTAGGAGGGAATTTCTTATCAATATCGTTCCAATGCTCTACACCTTACAATGAAGATTTGATAGTCAGTAATATAATTTAAAGATACACGGAACCGAGGCCAGATCCTTCCATTGAAGTCTATGAAAGTTTTGCCACTCGCTCTAAGGGAGCGGAATCAGGTCCTTGCAAATATTTCAGTATATAAATTGCCTTCAGTCCGCTCCCGCCCCCCGTACATTTACTGTATACCTTGAACTTTGCCCAGGGAAATTGTTCTGTGTATTTCTTCATTTGTTTTGTCTGAGTTTATTACAATTACACAGGGCTTAGAAAGTGACAATGTAAAGAAACTGGCTATCTGTGATCATCATCAATTCAGTTGACACTGAAACAGACATACGAATATTCAAACTGAAGTTCTGTGCTCTCTGAGCTGCAACATGACATTGATCGCGTGGGCAGAACTCCATACTGAACCTCCCTGTTTAAATGTCAATGGTGTAGAAAGCCTCTGTGTTACTTACATTTCTCTTGTGTTGTCAGAATGGACACATTCCTAGCAATCACCGTAAAAGCCTCTAATATTTTAGATCTCGGTTAATTATAGCGTTAAAATGTCCAGGAAAAAAGCTGAACGACTCACTTATTACCATGTTTTTGTCTCCGAGTAGGCTCTAATTGACACTGGTGAGATTTGAGTGAACAGCACGAAACAAATAATTTCTGTTCTCTCCTAGTGCCTGGGTTTAATAGCAACATTTAATTAGCAGGGTGCAGGCAAATACTCTGGGCAGACCACAATATACTCACCTTCTCTGCTACTGAAACCTGCTGCACATTTCCTACTTCTGTACTAGGAGTCTACCGCTCGATTTGATCTTAAATCCCACTTGGTGAGGCTGTCAAAAAAGAAATACCTAGGATAGCAAAGTTTCCTCTTCCACAGAGTGAATCCTTTAAAAGAGCCGTGCGCCCAGTTTAAGAGCAGAAAGGGGAGGAATCTGCAATTTGGAGGAGGTGATGACACACAGAACAATGCTGCTACACCTGCACCAGCTCTGGCTGCGGAAATGCCTGCGAGGAAGAGCAAGCAGGCCTGCATGGGTGGTCAGAAGAAATAGATAGCCCAAACACCACAGAGAGTAAGAGACCTCTACGAGTGAACACAGAATCCCCATGCAGCAAACCTAAGTGCTCCGAACGCACAGCTGTCTCCCAGCTTCGTTTTCCCTTGGATACAAAGAATGTTCGTGTTTTAACCTAATGGAAAATCTTGGCTTGTTTACTTGGGAAGATGCACGTGGGCGATTAATTAGGAAATGAATCGCTAATGTTATTTCTCTATATTAACTACACATCGGCGTTCAAGAAAAGCCAAGTGTATATAATGTAGATATAAAATATACACACATACGATATACGTTCCCCATATATGTATATATATTTATACTTATGTAAATATATTGTGTCATTATTTTTCGTAACCACATTTGTACTCAGCAGGATTACAGTTTTTAAAGATCATATCTTTTCCTGAAAATGTGTAATATAATTTGTGTATATATACTGAATGTTTTATACTTGTATTGAAATGTTGTTCTGAGTTTTTTAAATGTATCTGTACATAGACTGGCATTCGTGTGTCTATATTATGAATGGCAGCATACACAAGGGTGTGTGTACATGTACGGCGGTCTATAGGTGAGTACAGAGAAATCTAGAGATGCAGATAAACATTTCTATAGATGTAATTATAAAATATATCAGGAGCTACACACTAGACGCGTGCAGGAATATATGCTCTTGAAGAACTGCAATCCTCCAGGGTACAAATGTGGTTACGAAAAATGATGTGGCAAACCCGCGGCGGCTGGAGGGAAACGGAGCTTTGCAGTGATTCCCCTTCGTGTCTTCAGTTCAAGAAAGTTAACGCTGCGGTTATAAAGAAAGATGCTCCGTAGCATCCTGAGCCTGTGGAATTGGGGGAAGCTGCGAGATGGTTAAGTATAGGGCTCACTAATCCTGCACTCCGGGAAAACCCACTAGAGACCGAGAGTTTTTCCGAGCAAGTTCTGCAAGGTCACTGTTTTCTAAGTTAAAAGGAAGCTCATAGCAAGAATTAAATATGTGCATAAAACATATGCACTTATTTTTAACCAGATCTTCGCATTTTGATGCGCACACTCTTTGGACAACCTAGTTTTCAAGGATTGGTTCAGGAGAGCCGAAGTTTGTAAACACAGGTAGCTGTAGTTATAAATGACGGCTCAATATTTAAAATGGCAGCGAAGGAGCAACAAGGAGCCTCGAATTTAGAAAATAAGCAGGCGAGTCCTCCTGCATTGTTCCTTAGAACCAAATCGAATAATTGCTTGCAAGTCATCACAAAATAACGTTTTAAGTAATCCACCTCCATTTGTGCGACTGCAAATGGAGCAGCCTTCGTGACCGACTATTTTTTGTACAATACCTTTGAGACGCTTCTGCAGGGTGGCCAGTGCACGCTTCCTTCTTGCTGCTCAGAGTCGCTTTACCTGAAGATAAAAAAGGGAGATAAAAATGTCAAAGGCACATAGAAAATTCCAGTTAACCGGGAGAAAACAGTTCAACTGTGTAGTCTGGATCTCTCCCAGAAAAGATTCCACCCTATAATCTCCCCCCAGTCCCTTCCTAGCCTCCTTTTGTTCGCTCATCTGCGGGGCCCTTTAGGGTTTGTAGGTAAACAAGCGCTGTCTGTTTTCGATCACATTTTTATGCTCTGGGTGAAGAAAGCCCTGCTCCGTCCTGGACCCGATCCTTCAGCCTTTACTCTTTTAATTCCGTGTTTTTTACTCGTGTGTAGAAGGGCTGCGAGAACCGAGCCCCGTTTTATTGTGCAACAGATTTAACAGGTGTGGGTTGAGATTTTGTTTGTTTTTTACTTTTTTCGACTGTAATCAGTTATCTGGGCACTGTGCCAGGACTCTAGTGAGTATAAATGCAAATGTATATATAGACATAGACATCTGAGAATGGGGAAAGAGTACCCTGTATCACAATCAGTTCCCACTTACAGCTATTGATTTCAGTGTAGGGCTGTGGATTCGGTTTCTAGGCTGGGAGTGGAAGTTTGCAGCTTACTGCACAGTAGGCATGTTTGAGCTCACTTCCCTGGTGCTAAAATGAATGCCTGTGCCAGCCAAACCCAAATAACGTGGTAGGTTTGCAATGAAATTTGGTAGCTTCCTTTTACTGCTGATAATATGGTAGCCTTCAGAACCTCATGTTACTATAGTACTTAGCATTTTCCCCTCACTTAACTGGACATCTGGGTAATAATTTATCCACCTTTCACTGAGAGATCATCTCTGTCTATCAGGACTTCCTCAAAATCTCCATCTGAGACAATTATTCAAAACTGTAGCAGAGAAAGTTGCGAGAAGATTTCTTAAAAATCAAATGTGAAATATGTTAATAGATCGAGAACGTTTAATTTAAATATACGTGGCCATTTGATTGTTTCAGTTTAATACCCACTCTTTCTCTCCTTTTGCTAATAGGCTAATCACTGGGGTTTAATTACGAATTAGAAATGAACTCGACCGTGCCTCGCTGGCTCCCCCGCTATAGGGGAAAGGGTTCCTGACGAAAGCGGAACTTACAAATCAGAAAAGAGCAAGTCCTTGAGTGCATTGGAAATCTGAGCCTCCGGAGCCAGAGACGCGTTGCTGTCTCTTGAAAAACAGGCAGGGCTAAGAGAGAAACTTTACCAGCTCCTAAGGGAAAGGGGCTCTGAGTATCAGCTGGCTCTGGGCGCAAGTTTGATCCAGATCAATACCAAGAAGGGACTGACTGAGCCTCTGCCGGTGGGACTGGGCTTCAAGCAGCCCAGCAAGCAGGAAAGCTGGTTCTTTTCCCCCTGGGAAGAAGAGTGGACTTGGGTGCCATGATGGCCAGCTACCAGGACCCCGAGGAGGACCCCGTAGCCCTGATGGCTCATGACACCAACGCCAGCAAGGAGGCCGAGCGAGCCAAGGACGAGCTGAGTCCGGAGAAGGGGGCCGAGAAGCCGGACCCCTCTCAGAAGCCCCCCTACTCCTACGTAGCTCTGATCGCCATGGCCATCCGGGAGAGCGCCGAGAAGCGGCTCACGCTGTCCGGCATCTACCAGTACATCATCAGCAAGTTCCCCTTCTACGAGAAGAACAAGAAGGGCTGGCAGAACAGCATCCGCCACAACCTGAGCCTCAACGAGTGCTTCATCAAGGTGCCCCGCGAGGGGGGCGGCGAGCGCAAGGGCAACTACTGGACGCTGGACCCGGCCTGCGAGGACATGTTCGAGAAGGGCAACTACCGACGGCGGCGGAGGATGAAGAGGCCCTTCAGGCCGCCCCCGACCCACTTCCAGCCGGGCAAGACCCTCTTCAGCAGCGACAGCTACGGCTACCTCTCCCCGCCCAAGTACCTGCAGTCCGGCTTCATGAACAACTCGTGGCCACTGGCCCAGCCGCCCGCGCCGATGTCCTACGCCTCCTGCCAGCTGGCCGGCGGCAACGTCAGCCCCGTCAACGTGAAAGGACTGTCGGCCCCGGCCTCCTACGGCCCCTACTCCCGGGTGCAGGGCATGGCCCTGCCCGGCATGGTGAACTCCTACAACGGCATGAGCCACCATCACCACCACCCGCAGCAGCTCAGCCCCGCCAGCCCCGCGCCGCCTGCCGCCCCGGCCCCCAACGGAGCCGGCCTGCAGTTCGCCTGCGCCCGCCAGCCCGCCGAGCTCTCCATGATGCACTGTTCCTATTGGGACCACGACAGCAAACACAGCGCCTTGCACTCCCGGATAGACATCTAGAGACCCCTGCCCTCCTGTCTGTCTGTCTCTTGTTTCTCCTCTGTAGTGGCGGATTTGTCTAAAGTGCTCTCTGTGCCAAAAATGGGTACAGCGGGAAAATGTAAGCCCTGCTCCGCGGTTGGTTGAAGGCAGTGTAAGTGTTGAACTTTAAAAACCCTCTAGCTGCAGCGAGAGATCTGTGTGATCCTGTTGGAGTGTAAGGTTATCAAGCGATGGCCGGTTTGTCTGACTTATGGGGGGGGGGGGGACTGACTTTTCTTTTTAAAGCATGCCATTCAAAATACACAGTTTTGTCCTCAAACGTATACTCCATTTTGTAATTTGGCACTATTATTTTTGGGCATTGAGGAAAGTAAACTGGGGGGGAATAGAAAAACCACCAATTCGATCTCCGCTAATTGTAGATTTGTTGCTGGGACAGGCCTATCCGCTGTGTATCACGGGACTTTTATAGTCTGGAAAGAATTGCACTTCTTCAAAGTTCTGTCCTTCTGTCAAAATAGTACTTACTTGGGAACTGTTTTTAAAGCAGAACGCATGCCTACATTTCATAGCAATGCTGTTGATATTTGAAACAAACAAAAAATAACAAGAGTAACTTGTGAAATATGTCGGCAGTGATATAGATATATGTATATTAAAGTAGAAAATGTCCTGAGAGGTCTTAAGAGTAATTTTATACAGGTCTAAAATAATATTTTGAAGTTATAAGAAAAAAGACGGTTTCCTATAATAATTGGGATTTTTTCCATGCGCATTATTATTATTATTAAATAAAAGTTAAATTTTATCTTCATATTTTTGACCAAAAACCTCCTGGCCCCAAATGGAATCTTTGGTAGGTTCTGCGTTTAACTGCTCAGCATCTTTCTTACAAAGTTTTGGTCCTCCGACTTTAAATAGATTAATGTGAAAAACATAGATGTTTATAAATATTGGGGCCAGTTCATAACGATTTTATAAATGTTTATGTAAACTGATAGATACTAAGGCATAGTACCATTTTTGGGACCAACTTTTCTAGAGTAAACTAGCACTTTTATTGTATTTTCTAGCATTGTAAAGTCTCCAATAAAATGTTTTTTTCTTTCTTTTAATATTGTTTTATTTTCCTTCAGTCCTGCGTGCTCCACTGCTGATATGCAAATCCATTGAGAGATTCAATGCAAACTATTTTAATTGGCTTGAGTAGTTGCAGAGATTCCTAACAGTCTAATATACAATACAAAAAAATTGATGTAATCAGGGATAGCATTATGTATAATACCCATCTAGATAGACGTGTGTAGAGTATATACAGTTTACATGCTGATTACCCACGCTTGATATTTTTATTCCAAATCTAAATAATTGAAATGTTCTAAGCAGCCAAAACTTAATAAGTCTGTTTTTAAAATATACTGAAGACAGTCTTTCTTTTCTTTGTTCTCATGCAGAATCTGATCCTGCACTCCTAACGCAGACAAAACTCCACCTGAAGTTCTTTAGCTTCATTGGGAGTTTTGTTTGAGTAATGATTCCCAGATCCGGCCTTAAAGGGTATTATGCTTTCACAAAGCCAGTCATTTTGAGCCGCTCCAAATTATCTAGCAGAACAGAGTAACAACTGCATTGATTTCACTGCTCTTCTGCGATCATATTTGCAGAGGTAGATAATACCGATTTCGTGTCCTCTTCTGCAGCTGTGGTAATGTAGGAATAAACAGCTGTGCTATTTGGATTAAGCTAATAACAAATTCGAACCCCAGTTTGACTCTTTCCTCTTCTGCTAAGGGTAACAATCCCTTAAAGGAAAACTACACTGCTTGCATAACTGATAAATGTAACAATTCAAAAAGCTATTAAATTATGCCGGAGACATGTCAGAATTGTTTTGTTATTGGAAGGTACTTGGAAAGCATATCCTCTTTAAAATACTGTGCATTCTTTACATGCCCGCTGGTTGTTGTGACCTAGAAAGCATCTAAACAGCAATTCAGTAATGCAAATAATATTATCTGCTTTGGCAGCTGCATTACTCAAAATGTTACAAGGTGGCAGTGCATCCTTTTTTGTAACCCCAGGCATCCGAATTTTATTTGTCCTCGGAACCTGACTCTATAGTATTTACTCTGCGATGTTGGTGGTTATGTTAGCAGCTGTTTCTGGGCCTTGACTTTGCTTTAAAGTCTGTCTATACTTGCTGGCGGCAGACACCTTCCTTGGTTATGCAATATATTCTTGCGAGTTAAATGGAGACTGAGCAAAGAAATTCTTGATCAGGATAAAGTTACTTCCCATCGATTTCTAATTAACGAAGGACCATGAATGCATAGTGCAGTGAAGATATAGGAGGTTAGTTTTGTCATTGTTTTCTTAGATCTGTTATTCCTACCGGTAGCAATGGAGTCCCTCCCTCCCACCTTCTAATTTAATGGGATCTCTTTAGCACGAAAGGAATAATGTAGATAGGTAAATCAGGGTGACTGAAAAGTACCAATAACCTGGCGTGTTTGTGTTAGTGACTGTCCTCATTTAAAAACCTAGTTTGTTTTAAAAAGCGAGGTGTTTTCAAAATCCTCTCCTTTCTTGAACGAAAAAAAAAAAAAACCCTGACTGAAAGTCTGACTGCATGCAGAAATGCTGTAATAATCCTTTATACTAAACAAGTCAGGGTTAAATTATAAGAGATGATATAATTAGATACCATTTCACAACACAACATACGTAGAAATTATTATTTTATTATATTTGTGCAATTTTAAACTAGTGAGGGTTTGAGTGTGACAAATTATGCAGCAATGTCCCATAACTACATTATTGGGGACCGAGCTGGAAGAAAGCCTAGCACAGACTGAAATTTCAGCAACAAAATAAGGGGGCTGAGGTATGCCGAAGTTCCCAACTCCTGAGTTCTGTTTAGCCTACTCACAGCTTGCTAACACGTAGCACTGGTTTGAATGGCATTTCTGACTTATGCAACAGTGTCCAAAAGAGACATTCTGATTACAAGGACTTCCTAATCTTCCTTAAAATCAGTTCAGTGATGCAGTTTCCTCTCTGTGTAATACCCTTCCATTTTGTCCGTGGGCCTTTGCAGACTCTCTGCGGGGGATAAAGATGCAGCTCTTAATACAGAAAGAGAGCTTTCCCTTTATTTTCAAGAAACTTTGCTTCCACCTAAAATAAGCCCCTAGATAACATTCCACTGTCAGGCGTTCAGAGGGTAGTTCCTCCTGTCAACAAAGACTGGCAGTCTAGCATTATTAACAATGTCTCTTACAAAATAACGTTCGCCCCTGCATCCGAGATCTGCTATCAGATGCACAGGAAGAGGCCAGCCTTGCATTCTTGACGCATCCAAACCTCAATGCCCAAAGAAGCCTCGATATAGACGGCACACGCACAGCTTATGTGCAACTGTAAATTCCTGTGGTTTTGGTGCTCCTTGTGTGTGTGTGTGGAGAAAATCAAGATTAATGCAATCAGCACAGGCCTGTGTATCTGAATAGTATCTCCTTGGATGCTTCATTTGATAGATTACTGCTTCTATCCAAGCATACCTACCCTTTTCTTGTTTGTGGCAGAGTAATGGCTGCGAAGCCTTGCCAATGAAATGTTTTTAGGATTAAGCAACCACCTGCACGTTTTTAGTCCCAAATTAGGCCAAAAGATGCCTCAGGCTAGGAAAGCCCTTGCAGTCATAGGGAATATAGCATATCCTGTGGTGGGATAAAACACATACACACACACACGAAGAAAAAAGGTGTGGGGGGCAAAATATCCTTTGGTGTAACTTCACTGGTGTCAATTTGCCCAGGAACAATGAAGGGGGTATTAGGGAATACTTGTAAGGGTTGGAACAAATTGTAGCCAATATTCTATGCTTCTGATCTCTTTAAAATGACACTGACCTTGATCTCAAAATGAGATTTACATCCTTCAGCCATCAGCTTTTTCTCTTTCAAAGTGGCCTTCACCAAAATGCCTTTTCATCTTGTGAAATGCACACAAGTCACCTTCGTTAGGGAACTACAAATTCCGCTATGACCAAATCTTATTTGGCAGTAAATTCCTGACACACTCTTATTAGGGTGAACTTTCTAACGCAGATGTTCTGCCTATCGCTGATGGGGCTGGGATTGGAAATAAAATAGTAGATTTGGTGATTGATCCTGCGCTTCTCAATCAGACAAAACTCCCTTTGCAGTCAATGGGAGCTCAGCCTGGCAAGCGACTGCAGAATCAGGCCCCCGTTTCATGAGACCATCTGCGTTCATCCCATTTATTTTTGTTCGAGCCTTTTCACTTTTGACAGAGGGGGGAAAGGGACCATTAAAACTAATCGCCGTAGAGGAAATATTATTTAGTGCATACGCACGTCTGAATGTTTTCATTGCACTCTGTGCAGCCTTTACCATAGTGTCTTCATTTGCCATAGTGTGTTCAATTTACCTTTAGTGGGCCCGATCCAACGCCTATTGAAGTCAGTGGGAGTCTTTCTTTTTGAGCTCCATGGGCTTTAGATCAATTTTTAAGTTGCAGAGTCTATTTTTGTTTGTTTTAGTTTTGACCTAATGTAAAAGTGTTCACTCCAGTGGTTGCAGATAGCAGCCCTCAGTATTTTATCACAGCTGGGGACAAAATATTATAACAAATACGGATGAGAGGAGAGTCTGAAAAAACTCAATTTCTTTACGGGCAGGAGCATAGATGTATTGAGTCGGCAGTGAAATATTGTAAGCGGCCTAGGTATTCAGGAAACCACTGTAAGTACATAGATGGGTTAAGTCTCATGGACTCTTCCTAGGAGTGGACTGTAGGAAAATCAGGATGCAAATCTGGAGGGAAAAAAGGAAACGAAGCAGCGTTGTCTGTGCCTCTTACAGGTCCCCGGGGGTTAACGTGGACAATATAGATCTGGACAGTTGCGCTGGCTGTCACTGTGTTTGTGTCTCTCTCTGTCACCCACACAAATATGTGCATCTGCAACATACCTAAGCTGTATTAACTGTCCCTTT